AGTAGTAGTAGTAGGAGTAGTAGTAGTAGGAGTAGTAGTAGTAGGAGTAACAGTAGCGGTAGTAGCCGTAGTAGTCATAGTCGTAGTACTAGTAAGGTCGCATGCCAAAATGAACAATAAATGCACCTCGTGCAAAAAGCGAGTGAGACATCGTGCGCGGCACAAAAGGACACTTATATAAAAATCCCTGTGCTAAATTGCGGAAGAACACAGGGAACACAGGCAATTTAGCACAGGGATTTTTTCCACAGGGAACACTCCGGGAACACAGGGATTTTTAACACAGGGAATCGAATCGGGGAACACCAAGTCTTCACCCTTGCTTCGGCCGCTTTTGAACACCAAGTCAGGGCCCGCCTCGAAGTACTCTTGCATCTGAAGAGCCTCACGATCGGGTTGCTGGCAGCACTCGGGACTTGGAATCTCCACCTGTGAGCCTCTTGAAACCACCCCCAAAAGTATCCAGAGGAAACCACACTTTGATGGCGTCCCGCCGCACAAAATGATGGACATTGGGTAGGCTTCCACCGGAGATCTATGCTTTGGGCGTGGATGCCATCAAAGTGTGCTAGGGGTTTAAGTTTAGGTGTTGTGACTGTGCCTTTTGAAGGAAATCGTATTTTTCCAAAATCTTAGTATATAAATGAAATCTATTTGTTCCAGGATCTACCCTCAAGTGGTTGATGGCATTTCCCTATAGTAGAGATCACAAATTGATGGCATATCAACGGCGTTTTGCGAGTGCTATCAAAGTGTGATTCCCTATAACTATGCCAGTCCCATGGGTCGTGTCTCTCAGGAACTCCTCTTGTGAACACTTTTTCAAAATCAAATAGGTGTCATGTGTTTCTTCCCAAACTATAATTCTGCTTTGAGCCATGTCCCATTGATTTGCTTGGTGTCCAAGCACGGACTATAACTATACACCCCAGGCTCATCCTCCAAAGCCATGGTGGATTCACCCGAGCCGGAGCAGCCATATCTTCTGCTCCATGACTTGGATTCATGAGGGGTTCTCAGAAGAAACAAAAGTATCCCCCTTACTTACTCAAGGAGCCTGTGGTTCAGTCACAGAGTAAGGGGATACAAAAGTTCTGAGATCTTCTCGGGTTTTTGTTGGGACCCCACCCATTGAACATGCGGAACAAGCCTGAACCACTTCTCAAGTACCTTTTGTCAAACCGTTCATCCTACCCAAACCACGATCCACCCTATCTTCCTAAGTTGCCTGCCTATCTACATATACCTACCAACCTATACCATACATGGCCGCCATTGGTTGCCGCTCCTGACACCTTTTTGGGTGCTGCGGCACGATGAGAGACGGTCTACGTCGCACGAGAGAGACCGGCGAGTTCTCGGCGACCTACAACTCCTGGTTCTCAGTAATTGGCACCAAATCCAGGGACTTGGTGATCACAAAGTCCTGAGGAAAGGCCGGTGCAGGATATGCCATCCTATGCCTATTTATTCGTTCATTGAGTCAACATTGGGTCCACAAGTTGCAAAGCAGAAATCTCTGGTCCATACAGAAATGGTTGAACACCGGAAACAGCGGGGCCCAGCGGTCGCTTCACTGAACAGTGAGCCTTTACGATCAAGGCTTGACCCGCCCCTGGGGGGCCCTGGTGGGCCCTAGGGGAGGACATTGAGCGGAATTTGGGAAGACAAGGCACAAAAGACTTGAAGAAGTTCAATAGATCACCTATATAGAGAAGCTTCATGTTCGTCAAGGTTGCGCAACAAATGCTGCTCAAAGACCTCATAGCTATGGGTTTTGACCCAACTTCCCTTCTTCACCCTGCACTAAATGAGAAAACACACAAATCTAAACTTGAACTTGAAACCTGATCATCCATGAAGGGTGATAATTTGTCTTCGCCCTGGCCATGAAGCCTTTGGAGCTTTGCACGTCTGACCCAAGCCGTGTTGCGGCTGCCAATGATGAAAACACTCTAAACATTCTTTAAACAAATCGACGCCAACAACAAACAGATACATATACAAAAACATGCAGAATATCCTGTGCTTCATGAAGCCCAATTGCATAGGAGCTATTTTCTGCCCATCGACCAACAGCCAACAGTCTTGAATCCAAGCCACAGCCCATCATCTAAACTTCCTCACCTCTCTCACCTCCAATGAAATCATCATGGCTACAAGTATGGCGCCTTGGACCGTTGGATGATTTTTTTGAACAAATACCAAACAGGTGCTCGTCCACTTCGAGGATTGGAGGCTCCCCCAATTTCAGTTCTTCGGACCTGCTGCCATCCACTCACCCCAAAGAAACACAGTTAATAGGGGATTTCGTCTTGATTTTCTGAGGTCATCGACTGGACGTCTCCTTCTGGACGTCTCCCTAGGGCTCCTGGCCCATCTCCGCAGCAGGTGGTTAGACCCCCCAAATCCACCCCTGGCCCATCTTCTCAGGAGGTGGGCAGGAGCCCTAGGGAATATACACTCCCATAAAACCTTCCGCCTCCCCCAAAAAAGAGGCTGTCAGAGGTCTGCATGGCTTGAGGTCATCGCAGACCTCACGTCGCACCGTCTTCCTCACCGCATCGCACCGCGTACCGCACCGCGCCACCGAGCGTCGCTGGACGGTGCCCGACAGCTGACGGGGCGACTGCTGTGCTCACCGACCCGGATCTGTGGCGAGTGGAGCGACCGGAGCTCGGAACGTCCCTGGTGTCGATGGCGGAGTTTGGTTCGGATGGCTCACAGGGTGTGGAGACACTGTTTTGCGTGTTTTGCTTTCATGGTCTGCTTCCATTGAATTGCTGAACAACATGTTGAAAACGGTTGATTTGATGTGGAACTCCGTTGGTTCACCGGTGATGTGGCCATTTGTTCTCTTGGTGGGCCGTTTATAGGACCGAAATGGATGGCCTTTGGTTCTTTGTGAAATCAATTTGCTGGATGCTGAGAAAGGGGCTGAAGTGTTCACATGTATACCCTAGGGCTCCAACCACCTCCTGAGAAGATGTTTGGGGTGGATGCCAGGGGGGTCTAACCACCTTCTCAGGATGGGCCAGGAGCCCTAGGGATATATACTTCGCGAGATCGGAGTGCACACACGCACTGGAACACCAACGGCCAAATCCAGACCCCATGGCCGAGAACCCCGAGAACCCTTCGCTACGCCGAACGGCGCCTTGAAGGCCCCGTTCCCGGGTGAGTCATGAAGCCTTGGAGTCAATCTCCGGCGCCTGGAAACGATGTCCGTCATAGGAGAGCTGAGCGATGCTGCCATGCCTGGATGGACACCGAAAGGTTGAAGAACATGAGGCAAAACGGAGCAAACCAGGCAGCAACCAGGTCTCACAAAGATCAGTATACATGTGATGATGCTGCCACAACTGATTTTTTTGTTCTTTTTGGTTTTATCGTTGGTTTTTAGGAACAAAGTGTGTTTCAATTCAAAAACATGAAGCACCGCACCGAATGCGGTATTGATTCCCAAAAAATAGAACAGTGAACAGCCTGCGAATGCATGCGTATACTCTTCTGTAAGAACTCTTCTACGCTTTTGCAAGACTCCGCACACTTTCGCAGCCCAACCTCAAATTTCCAAACAACTATACTATATAACTGCTGATAACTCAAACTATTCAGTTTGCCAGCCCTGGTCATCTTCAGAAACACATCCAACCACCAGTCGCAAACCTTTGCAACTCAAGCACTTCATTTTTTCTCCACGCCCGCGGGTAGGGCGAGACGATTTGCCGAGGGGCGGGGGGATCTTCGCCAGCTCCATGGCTTTCTTGCCATCGAGCCACAGCAGCGCTGCCGGCTGATCAGAGTGGCTTTGGAAGGCGATATGGCAACTGGGCTCCTAGCACAAGCACCAGTAGGACCAGTAGGGTCAAATAATCAAAAACAACAAACAGCCCCGGGGCGTTCAGCCAAAAATCCTGCAGCAGGCGTTCTTTTACTGAGGTCATGTTGCAACTCTCGGGGGCCAAAGGGTGAGGTTCCAAAGGGGTGCTTTTCAGTCCCTAAGTGAGTGGATGTTCTGGGCACCCCTATCCTCCAGTAAGCACTCCGACATGGAACTGCTGGTGCCTCAAGATAGGTAGAGGTCCATGTGGATGGTTTCTTCTGCTGAAGTTGGCTTAGGCTTAGATATGTTTAGTTGGTTGACAAAAGGGAGCGCTAAGAAACCCTTGAAGGAGGCATTAACAAGTCTGTCCAGGCTAAACTTTAGGTCCATCATGGTCCATCTATGAATGCGCAGCATCCAAATGAATATCTGCATCTCCAGGAACTCAACCCTTTGCCATGCCAAAGCATGTCTCCCATTGGTCGTGGGCATGACCATTCGATATCCTCCACGGTCTTGACTAACAGGGTTCACCAGGTCATTTTACAAGAACGATAACATTCTTTTGCACACTGGCAGATAGTGATTGTAATGCAAAATGAAGTTGATAAAACACATGCAGAATTCCTACATCTCCCCTGCTCCTACCTCCTCCCTGCTAATCGTCCCATATGATTACATGGCTGAGTGAACAAAACCTAACAAACATGCCCTCGACTGGCCCAAATCCAAAGAACCATGCATTCTCCCCGCAACCGCCCTGGCAACGAATGCCTGTGCAGCCGAGTTTAAGTCCGAGTTTCTTAACGTCTTGAAGTTAACATCCAGAACCTTCAAAGTGACCTCTTTGGAGTCTCTAAGTGACCTTGGAGGAGCTATGTGACCTCATTCCTGGATCTCAAGGACAGTCACTTTGAAGGTCCAGGATGGTCTTTCTTCACATGATCATGTCTATGAGAGTCCGAACCGCCTTCCTTTGCGGGGGAGGAAGAAACCGGGTACTTTCAACGCCGCGATACGCCGCAGCGCGGATCCCAAGGCATCGGTCCTCATCGTCCGCCCTCCAACCATAGCGTTTCAAGGCAGGGTGCCCAGGCATCCAGTGTCCAGGTGTACCCCAAGGCTTGTTGCGCACCCATCTCAGCTTGCATGTTGTATTTGTTTCAGTGCGCTGATATCAGGCAAACACACGATTGGAGGTCTTTTATGCCATTGGGACAGGCCTCGACCTAGTTGGGCCTGGAAGTGGTTCAAGTGCCAGATGCGCAAATCCAACCGCAATTAAGGAACTACACTGTTTACCCCGGGTAAGGGATCAAAATAAAAATAAAAATAGAATCAAAAAAAATATTCAACGGGGATCAATAAAGGGGTAAAAAGGTAATCAAAAAAATAATTTTCTAGCCCACTGGCAGTAGCAGTAGCAGTAGCAGCAGCAGCAGCACCAGCGTAGCAGTAGCAGTAGCAGCAGTAGCAGCAGCAGCAGGAGGAGGAGTAGTAGTAGTGGTAGCAGTAGCAGTAGTACCTACTTTCTTCCCAGGGAGCTGCCTCTAGTAGAAAGCAATCAAGCCTCTATTTGCACAAGCAGGGGACCAGGACATCGACAGACGAGCGGCGTAGGAGAGCAAAAGACCAGCGGACCAGGAGACAGAAGGACTAGGATACCAGGGGACCAGCGGACCACAGGACCAGAGGACCAGGAGACCGGAGGACTAGGGGACCAGTGGACTAAAGGACCAAGGGACCAGGGGACCAAAGGACCAGAGGACCAAGGGACCAAAGGACCAAGGGACCACATTACCAGAGGACCCGCAGACCACAAGGCCAGCAGAGCAGCAGAAGAGGCCTATCCAGGAATATTTTTTTGATTCGCTTTTTGTTATTTGTTTGATCCTGTTTTTATGTTTTTTTTGATGCTCTTTTTTTTGATACCTATGCCGTTTACCCCGTCATAGACGACAAACACTGGAAGAGATTTGTCGAAAAACACTGCAGTGTTGGAATCTGTCCACATGCGCAGAAGGCAAACCAAACGCTGATCACACAGGCTGCTGGCAGGTGCATATGTTGAACTAGAGGGGGTTTGAGTCACAGGGCGCGGCCTCCTGAAGTCAGAGACTGCGGGAGAGCTGCCAGGGGGGCGATTTCGGCCTCCAGGGGGTTGGCCTCGTCTCCCTTTCAAGATGGAGACAAGGTGAGGAGACAAATGGGGAGACAAGTGGAAAGATAGGAAAGGGGAAGCCCTATCTTTCAGCAATCTGCGGAAGTGGCCCATCCAACGTCCTCCACCCATCCGTTCCTGAAAAAATACATCACGAAGTTCACTTGAGAACATCACTCCTCCATGAGTGTCCCCATGGAACTCACTTTGAGCCCACCTACATCGGTCATTGCTGAGTCAGCATGGGGAATTGCTTGTTTCAGCTGCCAGGTGAGAAAAAACGCAGCACAATCACAACAGAGATACTAAGAGCCCATGGGACTGGCATATTTACATTAAGGGTGGTTTTCAGGGGTCAATGTACGCATATATTGCATAATATTGCATACATGGAGCGTATGGGAGTGCAACGCACATTGTGGTCGGAGGTGGATGAATCCAAACGGAACAGGCAAACATGAATCTGGGAGGGTCTATGTTCTTTGCCTCTGCACATGTAGAATCAAACGGTATATGTTAACAATTGTTAAAATGTACCCCGGTTCAGAAAGGGAAAAACATATTTTAAGGAAGCCATCCTGCATCAGATTGTGAAACAGCTCAGAATGATCTTTCCAACCATCAAATCGCCCAAACACACTCCCAAAACCACTCATTTGTACACTTCCACCACCCTTCGCGCCTCTTCCACCTCCCCCCGGCTGCCAACTGCCTCCCATCCCAGCCGCTTGTTCCCGGACCATTTGGTCTCGTTCGGACCCACAGGACAGCCCGCATGGAGCGAGTTCCGGTCTCCACGTCCCGTGGCCAAGAAGTTGTACCACAGCACGGCGGTGCCCTTCCGCGGACGCACCTGGCGGTTTCGATCCTTTCCCTTGGGGACTGCCCAAATGGTACACCTTAAAAAAGGATGCTCCACACTTTCCCACTTGTTCAATGTCAAGTTTAGTGAGGAAACCCCAATCTCCAAAAGAGGTTTTTGTCATCCACTGACTGGGTATGATACATACTGCCTGGAGACCATGATTGAAATTGAAGGTGGAAGGTCAGAAGATTTCCAAAATCCATGCAACCAACACGGCACACAAGATGCAACAAACAATGGTCAATCAAAATGAATCCTTCTCCAGGATCACGTTCCTGCCCCCGTACCCGCCCTTCCTTTCGCTCGCTCGCTCCCTTCTTCCTCCTTCCCCCTGTACTCCCACGCAGCTGACCGCCACTCCGAAATCTCCCAAAAACCGCTCGCTGCACAAAAGCGCTGAGCACCGCGCAGACGCAGCTCCGACCGTGACGTTAACGGCGGTTTCGGCAGCTCGGACCTTCAGCCCCTTGACGCAGCTGCTCATGTCTGGATCCCTTGCACCGGTGCAGAAGCGTGCCGCCGGGCCGCCCAGGGAGCGAGGGGCGCAGATCGGCTGGCCATGCCTCCGGGCGCAAATAGCCATGCGCGTGTTCAGTCCGAGTGGCCGGGTCAAGCGGAAACATAGGGGCGGAAGTTGTGGTTTTCATGCAAAATAGCCGGAAGATGCTGGATGAAAATCCAGAACTGTCTTGTCTTTGAAATGCTTGGAGAAGACATCTGCAACATGGATAGCTGATGGCTATACATATATATAGCTGTTGTTTGGCACGTAGTGAGACGGTCGAATGCATGTCGTGGCAATCGATGCTTTTCAGTTGTTCAGTGGACGATCCTGAGGGATCTGAGGGGCATTCATCTTCATCCGGTCCATCTATATTCCCTATGTCTGTCCTAAAGCATCTTGCCTCAAAATTCTCTCTCCAGCACATCTATAGACTGGCTTTAAGGGAAAATCTACAGGAAACCAGGGTCTTCATCCCCAAAACTATAGGTTTCCTGCAGATTTTTCCCTAAACTCATTCATTGACGTGACAGGGATCCATTCCATGACCAGCCCAGCACCTGTGCTGAAGATCCGAGCCACTTAGGGAAGATCGTCTCCCCGCCCTCCTGAACATCGTTCAAATACCTGGGCAGCCGGAGGAAACCAGCACGACTCATCTTCATGCTGTGGAGTCATCTTCATCCGCGTGCTGCGCCATGCTGTAATAGTGGTGTGATATGGTTGTGGGTCAAAACCCGAAATTCCTTGGGTGAGCATAGACAATGAACAGAATGGCCTACCAGGGAGGTCAACCCAAGATGGTGCTCGCCAGGTGCCATGACCCTCATGGGTTGAGAGTTGGGGCCCTGTGACAGCTAGTTGGCTCCAGAAAGATGGGCTTTGCTCCATCCTTCAACTCCGACAACAGGTTTTCAGAAGGAAGGCGTAAATGCCAAGAATCTTAAGGAGGGACCCAGGGACATAGTTGCCTAAAACGTCTTCAGGGGCCTGTGAGCCATGACGCGATCGGGCTTTATTGAATCAGTTTTTGCACGATTTTTTTCTCTTGCACGCCGGCGTCGTGGCATCAAGGCCCAGGTAGGCAGGTATCCTTTACCCGGACAGATGAAATAGAAGCAGGAGAAACGAGATAGATGTTTTTGTTTTGTGCAACTTGAATCTCAACCACTTGCACACATTCATGAAAAGGATGTCAACATGTGTTCAGTTTCTGCGACGGCAATGGATCACGAGATGGATCTGTAGCAGCCGCTTTGGTGACGCTGCGTCGGCGCATGGATGCGGGAACTCCGTTTCTGCAACTTGGCGTTACGAGGAGTTGTTTAAGGTAGCAGATGCTACGCGATGGATGGGGTGGGGTGGGGTGGGGTGGGGTGCTATTGACATGTGCTCTTACATGGAGACTTTTAATGGCGACAAAAGTCGTATGTGCAAGCCTCGACACCACACTTTGTTTCATTTGATCTGAGGAAGCTAGTCTCTCACAGTCCTTCTAGGCCATCTACTTCAGCCCCTGCAACGCCTCCGCAACGACGGCCAATACTGGCCACTTGATGTCTTAAGTTCTCTTTTCCCAAACTTTTTTCATTCTCCCCTGTAGTGTGGACGTTGCACGCTATCCGCATGATGGTCGTGGAATTGCTATGAAGGACTTTTGCAGTGTTCAAGGGTTGGCATTTGCTTTTGTTCCACGTCTCGTTGGAAGAAGAATAGCCTAAGAACATGCTTGCAACGATGACACGGAAACCACACTCAGGAACCATTGTCTCCTTGCTCTTGGGAAGATCAACATGACTACGACTACGATCAACCTTTGACTCCTTTGAGTCGCGATCTTCTACGCGGACAAATGCAGCGCAAACGAGAATTGGAAGATTCCTCATTGCAGATTTCAGCTTTTTACTATTTTTTGGTTGCAGACCTTGCCATGCTAACTTTTCCAAAAGAAGAAGGGCCTCATTCTGCGGACGGTTTTTTTTGAACTTAATCAACTGCAGGAAATGGAGTCCGAAGCGGACCTGTTCCAAGATGATCCTTGTGTGCAGCCAAGCCTGCTTTGTATGCTGACGGGGCGCTCTCGTGGCAGAAAATTGCCAAAGACTTGAAGGTGCCGATAGTGCAAGTCAGCCATCAGAGAAAAGTTTTTGCTAAGCAGGTGTCGGCTCCACGCTAAGCTGTGTTGAAGTTACGAGTGGACCAATGGCTGTGGCGCCGAAACCTGAAGGTTACCACAGATCTCACACCTGATGAGATGCTGAAGCAGCTAGCTGCTGCCTGCAAATTGCGCTGAAAGAGAAAGTGTGCGTCGTCGGATGTCGAAGTCATTAGTTTCGGACGACCCCAGTTTCACAGTTTTTTCAATTTTGATCGGAATTCCAAGGCGTTTTTGCCGACCATGCTGCTGCCGTCCACAGGGTCTGAGGGACGTTGTACCCACATAGTTATTGTGATTCTTGTTCATTGTTACACATAGTGATATCCAATAATAATCTCGTCATGTCATGGTCGTTTCGTGCCACGCATCATATTCACTCTTCAAACACCAAAGCCAGCACATGAGAAGTGTAGCCAGCAGTGTTTGACCTGTTTGAAGGTTCCCCCTTTTTCCCATCTATTGGACCGATGAAGTACGTGAAAACCTGCTGGTTCCCTACCAATGTACACTTCGAATAGCTTCCAAGTGGCCACATGGCTGACCAGCTGACGTTTTGTAGCAGCGTAGCTTCCTTTTCGTTTAGGACAAAAACTGTCATCCTCACATAAATGAGCAACAAGACTCTCACCCTACCACACGGATCTGCGCCAGTTTGGGGGATACAATCAACGACATTCTGAGATGAACGTTGATGAAACTAGAAGCTTACCCGAATTGAACACCAACATCGAACACGGCACAGCCTCCGTTGTGATGGGTTTATGAAGTTGAGTGTCACCGCACCCACACATCAACGCTAAGCAGAACCTGGAGGCTCTCCCATGGGATGTAAATGGTAGTTGAGCCACCACAGCTCCACCTAGCCAGGTATTCTAGCCAGGCGGCCAGAAGAGGGTGGCTAAACGGTCGAAGTGACCAAAATGGGAGTCCATCCAGATGTGTCTTTGATCTGGGTAGAAGTCCTGGGCAGAAGCCAGCTGACGCGTCGCTCTGTGCTCTCGGGACATCGAACAAAAACCAGCTGCTCCGTGCGAAGCAAGGCAGCAATCCCCTGCTTCTTGGCTCCCAAGGCAGTCAAGGCTAGTCATAGTGCATGTCGTGGGTCAAGCCAGCGCGGTGCTCACCCAAAGCCCGGGGTCTGCAACTTTGGTTTTGCAAAGCTCCCTCATCCAACCAATCTGCTCGATCAGCAGCTTGGCGTGAGTAATCAGCAAAGAGAAACATCATAAATGTGTTGGATCTATCCTATTGCCAGGGCCTCAGTGGATGATGATGATGGTTACTAAATGCCTTGTTCAACAGTGATGTGATATGTGATATCAATTCTTTACTGACTGTTACAGGCAATAGGACAAACCCAATGCATTTGGTTCTTGTGATACACAGGAGGTTTATGGAGATGTGATACACCCACTCCGCCACCGAGGCAATGGTCCGAAGAGGAATCAAAACCAGAGCTTCCACAACGAGAATCGCACACCCGTGATCGGGGGTGATTTGATGTGATGTGAATCATTCCGAATCAATTCATTACATAGAGATGCCATGGTTGCAGCATGTTTGCACATAACCCCAAAACTGGGTCGTCCAGGACCATCTGAAGCGAAGCCATGTTCGACTCAACACTAGACATGGTTTCACCCTCCACCCGCTCCACCAGCTCTGTCCCCATTCGGCTCGCACAAGCGGCCAGCTCAGTCCAGTCCATGTGTGCATGGTAGTAGGTCCCAGTGTCCTTAGCTGTCAAGTTGAAGAGAATCCATTTCGAATCGGCAGTGCCCCAATCAGTTCTTGGAAGGGACGCCATGTGACGCAGCTTGGGCGCTCTGAGTGCCCTTTCAGAAGGGATATATAGAACACATATGAACACATACTAGATTCACTATAAGGTGATGAATCAAGTGGTCAACACTGCGGTCAACATCCAAGATACGATTCGATCGATCTATAGTCCGATCAACTTACCATATATAACAAAAAAGACTTTAAAACAGGAAACAACAGAAGACTTGAACCTAGTGATGCCTATCACCATGAAATCAGCTCTATATATATCCGCGTGGCGGAGTCAACCCTGCACCCTCTTGTACCCCCTTCTTTATCTCTTGAATGACCCGGTATGACCCGAACCACGCCGGCCCAGCGTCGTAGCGGAGCAGTTGCACCGGCTCATTGTGCTCGGCCGGAATGCGCGTCACCTGCGCCGTTCCTTGGAACGGCGTGCGGCGCGGGACAGGTGGGTGGATGACGAGGCCTGGCGGCCCGGATGGGAAGCCAATGGTTGGATAGGAGGTCCCCACTGAAATGGACCGGTGGGATGGGAAGCAAAAGAGATAAACGTCCCTTGCCAGACTGGAGAATCAATGGAAAAGGGCCATGGAGGCCCAAGGCTGGCTACAACAGCGGAGAGAAAGCCTCCAGAAGAGCTATGAATGTTCATCAGGTTTAGCTGCCCCAGCTTAGCTCCTGCGAGCTTTTGGTCGGGGATAGCAAACTAAGACGAGTGGGGCCGGACGTCGTAAATGTGCATCAAACCTAATCTGTGATCTGTCCCAAACTATCCGAGTACGGAATACTCAAGTTACCTACCTACATGGATGCTATAAAACAAAGGTAAATGTGTGTGTAATGTTACTATCGATGGTCTGGGTGATCTGGGTGTGATATCAAGTATGTGGTCAAAAAATTGTATTTTCGAAAGCAAGTGTACCAGGTACCAAATCCAAGTACCTTCTCAGAAGGAAATTGGACCCTCCAAACCTACAGAACAGTGTCTCCAACCACTACCTTCTGAGAAGGTACTTGGATCCCCAGGGTAATGCAATGAAGTGCACCAAATCCTAAAAAATCTTTACGATTGGAGCCACCATCGCTGATGCAGCAGCTATTCCAAACCCATCCGGTAAAATGATCTTATTTGAGAACTTTAAGAATATATATACACCCCAAAAAACACAAATCTTGCTAAATCATTCTAAATCCGTGTTTTACAAAGTTCGTCCAGTCACAACTTTAATGTCATGCAACCCCTGCGGATATGCGATGTTGAACCCTCTCAACTCCGACTTCTCAAACATGAATATGATGGTTTTGGGGTCCGGTCCCGGCGCAGCCCGAGAGTCTCTTAGTGGTCCAAGGGGCTCTCATCCAAGCGAGCAATGATGGGAGCAAGATCGTTGCTCAACCAGGCTTGCCTGTTCTGGCGACCCTTCAAGTACCCGAAGGAACCGAGTCTGGGAGCTACCTATTCCAACCAAGGAAGGTGGGGTGTAGCTTATACCTTGAAACTACAATTAACAAGTATGGGTGCATGTCATATTGATCAGGTTCAAACCTGGAGCCCTGGTCCACCATGTAGCTTAATCTTCCAGGTAGGTCAACCGGATCAATCAATTGGTCCTCATGGTTTTGACCCACAGCCCTGGTCCACACCTGACTTCGTCTGCAGGTGACTTGGATGTCCAAAAAATATTGTAGTTTCAAGTATCCTGTCAGTGGAGTGTGGCACCGGTTCCGGTCCTAAGTTCGTTCGAGGACTCGCCCACTTCACCTCGATTTCACTCCACGGGTCACTTCACCTCGTTTCTCCAAACATCGCTGCAGTCCCCTCAACAATCCCGGTTAAAGGGCCCCAGAAAAAGAAAGCAGCTCCAGATCCAGTGACCGACCAGTCTTTCCGAACGGGCAAAACCCAGGAAATGCCACCAAAAATGGCTCGTTCATGGTCCATTTCACGCCCACCACGCTTGGGCGCTCCGAAGCGCTTGGGCTCCGGACCACTCCCCACGAAACGTCGGACGATCTCAGGACGGACGGTCCTTCTCCCGCCGAGGCGACGATGACGGTGACCTCTTCGAAGTCACTTCCGCCCGAGGAGCTTCGAGGTCCGAAAGGAGGCATGTGAGGTGCCTTTCTTCAGGTCATTGCTTTGCATCTGTCCCTGGCCGTGCGCAGGAACGGATTGCCGGGTGGAGAGGAGGGGGCGGAGAGGAGAGGAGGGTGGAGAGGAGGGATCTTTCCCGAGTTTTCACTGGGGGGGTCTCGAAAGCTGGTGTATGTGTTCTTGACCTGCGAAACCGGAGATGTGTCGGGTGGAAGATAGGGAGAACCAGGTCGGTTAGGACCTTATAAGGAACAGTCTTTGTTTTAGGGAGTGTTTTGTTTGTTGAACCAAAATATCAAGGATTTGTTGAAACTATGTGGTTTGGACATGGTATGATTTCTTGCGCTTCCCCGCTTCCCAGCGCTACACCCTGAATGTTGCATACGTCTTTGGCTGACAGCTTGCTCAGTTGAGGAAGCTGTTGTTGGTAACCTCTTACGAAAAGAACATACATAGTATAGGCTTTGCCTTTACCTTCGTTGGTACTAAAATAGCAGTAAGGACATCTCCAGGAATATCTCCAGTATTTTATTTCTCCTGGGTTGCAGAAGTGCCCAGAAGGAAGGTTATTAGTCCAGGTGCTGTGAAATGCCTTAAACATGGAAATAGAAGCAAATAAAAACATAGTAATAAGCACCCACACATCTAAGACTAGTTTTAGGTGCTGTGCAAGTGCCTCGATCATAAATGAAAAGTAGGAGAGTCCAAAAGGTGCAATATATTCCCGTTTTTGGGTTTCGGCATTGCAAACGGCACACTGCGATTTTTGTGGCCGGCAGCGCTGCCAACGTTGCAAACAGCATGGGTTTGAGCGCGGAAGGCGCCCCATTGTCACCTGCCTGGTTGGCGAGTTTGTCGCGGCCCTGCATCGTAACCATTGGTTCTTGATCCTCATCGGGTCTGGGAAGGTGACAGTGTATACTGCGAAGACGTCGCTGGGGAGCGGCTCTTCCCAGTCCAGCTGTGTTGCTGGGAAGCCGGCGGGTGCAGGCAGTCCGCATACGCACGTTGTGCCACAGCACGTGGCAAAATGCAACGGTGCATGTTTCGTGAACATTTTTTGTGTTGTGGCCCCAGCCAACAGCTCTAGCTTTGCTTGCGCCCAAAGAAAAACCTCCGACAGAAAATTGCCCCAAGCTCACCAGCATAGAAAGGGCCAAACCAGTCCTGTTGATTGTTCATTGATCTTCGTTTTTTGTTTGCATTTGTCGCGTCCACCGCCTGCTGCCTAGACCGTCTACAAGAATCACGGAAGGCACAAAGGACGGCATAGCCGATTGCAAGCAGCAGCATGGGGGCTGCGCGTTCGACCAAAAGAATCGACAAATTTAAGGGAATAGGAACAGGTGCTGCGCAATTGCCTGCAATAATAATGATAGCTGTTTGTATACTCAAGTCAAATTAGCTCAATAATCTAGCGTGATGTCTGTATCCCTCTGATTTTGCGGAGGTTCTTTGGCTCGCTGTTCGTGTCTAAAGCTATTTACATGTCGCTGAGGCTGGTCAACCAACCAAAAGACACCGCCTGTTTTTTTGTGGGGCTGCTTGGCGCCTACAATTGCCAGGCCTCAGAGATGGCGGTGCCGGCGGTATACATCTTCACCTTTGACGCAAAGGCCAAGCCTCAGACATTCAGAAGCCACTCTTCAGAATCATGCCAGCAGAATGATTGAACGATGAGATGAATGTAGCTGAATGTTAAATAGAAGTGCTTACCGAAAGTGGATATGTGACATGGACAACGAGTAACAGGTTGTTTTTTTCCCGGGTTTCCAATCCCTAAGTCAAGTCACTTATCAAGTCACTTCTACAGCACCTTCGCTTCCTCCTGGGCCCTTGTGCAGCGTCCGGGAAGATCAAACACTGGGGATGCGCCGGGAGATTTCTTTATACTACTATTCAAGTACCAGCGAAGGCACAGGCAAAGCCTATACTTTGTATGTTCTTTTGTTATGAGGAATTTGTATGCGCTTAAAACAAAACATCCAGTCCAAACACTTGACCTCCAAAAAAAGTAGAAGGTCGAAGGACGCAACAACATTTTGCTACATGACCCTTCAGGACATACTATGATGAAAGACAGGGTTACGCAACAACATAGGTTACCAACAACAGCTTCCTCAACTGAGCAAGCTGTCAGCCAAAGACGTATGCAACGTTCAGGGTGTAGCGCGGGGAAGCGGGGAAGCGCAAGAAATCATACCATGTCCAAACCACATAGTTTCAACAAATCCTTGATATTTTGGTTCAACAAACAAAACACTCCCTAAAACAAAGACTGTTCCTTATAAGGTCCTAACCGACCTGGTTCTCCCAGTCCTTCCACCCGACACGTCTGACGGTTCCTTCCGTGCCACCCGTGCCACCCGAACCCCGAAACCAAACCCGTTCAACCCGAGAACCCACGCCCGGCCACGCCCTTCGCCGTCCGCGGGTCGAGAAGCGTTAGTCACGGTGGCAGCAAGCCCCCCAGGGCGGTCATGGGTGGCACCGGGTGGGTCATGTGTTTTCCCCCAAACATGCAGAAGAGACGAAGTCAGACGAACAAGGAGATCCACGTGAGAAGGGGATAGGTGAAAGGGCGGGTTTTGGCGGACACCCAGAACTCACTGGAGGTCAGCTCGCATTAGTCCACACAGCCCCCCAAGTACTCTCCGAAGCCAAAGCAAAGATATTGCTCCAGCCTTGGAGCTATGCAGACCCTGCTGCGCGCCGATCGCCATGACTTCATCGGCTTCCTGGTCCGGGTCGAAAAACCAAACAACAAAGACACATGGAGTGTGCAGGCTGGTGCGAGTGGAGGAGGCTGTCAAGGTCCTCTCCGCCCATAAATATGTGCTCAGTGCCACCCTTCAACATGTGTGATGTTCTTTGTTGGCGTTGAGCGCAAAAGTCCATCATCGATGGAGGCTTTATCATATATGCGAATGCATCAAACAAAGGCAAATGACAGCAGGATCTTGCAGGTTTCTGGGTGTCACCAGCTTGAGCTTGTGATGTAGACAGCTTGATTCATTAAACAAACACATATGAGGAGCTTGTCCAATCCAAATGGGGAATCATGGGGAGGGAGTTATCAATCAAGAGTCTACATTCAATTTGAAACAGCCAGGATCCTGGTGCCACATCCACTTGAACACCCCCCACCTACCACTCCCAGTCCCACCGTCCCGAAATGGCCTGGGAGGACATGAAGTTTCGCACTTCAAACACAGCCGGCCGCAGCGACAGCGTGGTCAAGTAGACGTCCGGCAGCCCTGTGACCTCACCGATGGATCGGCTGAAGTCCATGGAGTGCTGAAAGGGTCGGGAGACCTATAGCAAGCTTCAACCCATCAACAGTGACCCCCCACCGGAGTTGGAGGAACCACCTGGACCGCTGGCGACGCCCACGTGTACGTCCAATGGCACCGCTACCGCTTTCGAAGAAGCCGATCGATCCGCCGATCACCAGGGGATTCCGAGCCACTCAACGTGGAGGGATGCAGAGGAATCCAGGCAGAGCCCGTGCCGCATCGAGCCCGAAGCGGGGCTGGATGAGGCAGGGTTGTGATGGTGAGAAAACACGGCTGGCAGTCTGACAGACTCCAAAAACATCCAAAAACCAAAGTTGTGATGATTTGCAAGCCAAACATCCAAATTCTCTTGACGTGACTTAATGGTTTGGAGTTCCATGCCGATTTCCTCTCAAAACATCCGCATGATGATTCCTCATCAGTCGAGGTGCATTTTGCTGAAAGCCGATGCGCACCGCAGGCCACATCCACTGTCCATTTTCGAGGAAGAAGAGCACCGGAGATCGTAGAAGACCTGGATCACAAATGCTGCAGGTTTAAGCCCAAGAACAAGAAGCGGTTTTGGAGGGGGGTTCTGCCATCACAAAACTGCTGCTGCGTGGCCCTGCAGTGCTTCGATCCGTTCGCCGTCAGGCGTGAAGAAGGCGCAGGGGAGCTGCATCTCTTCCTTGGAGGGGACGAGATGACTCGGTGGCACCGATGACTCGGTGTGCAGAAGGCCTTCCCGGCTCATTCCAAGGGGTCCAAGTGATGCTAGGCTAGGCTGCTCAAGGGAATGCACTCATGTTTAACTGGATGACTTGTCCACCACAGAAAGAGGGTGATGACACATTGCAATGCCATGAAAGGAAAAAGGACACGATGACATGCAGCTTTGTGATCTCCTTGTGCGTCTTCTGTGTACTTTGCGCAACAAAACTGGTTTACAGTCACTGAGTTGTAGCAGTCTCCGCCAACCACCTACTCACAATTACCTGTCCGTGGTGTTCTTAGGCCGGGATCAGCGGGTTTTCCACCATTGGGAGAAACCTGCGTTCACCCAGTAGAAAACTCCGGTTTCGTGAGGGCCTCTAGCCTTCAACGAAAAGGGAGGTTGTTTGCTAGGAAGCCTGCTCCAGGCAAAACTCCATTACTTGACTGTCTTTGCCTGGCCCCTTTGCGAAAAATGGTCATCCATCCCACACCATCTCACCCCTTTCTGAGCGAAAAGGGCCCAAAAACCCGTGACGTCGCCGTCAGCTGGACATACTCCGTTCGATTCGGGCTCCTGGCCCACCTCCTCAGAAGATGGCTGGGGTGGATGCCAGGGGGGTCGAATACCACCTGAGGAGATGGGCCAGGAGCCCATCTCCGGGTACACGGTACACCCTGAAAGAAACATCATTCTTCCTATCTCTCGTGCACCGAAGTCAGTTGCATACCACTTTGGACCGAACGGCGGACAACTTTAACGGAATCCACCACGAACTGAATCCTCCACTGCCGGGCCCTGCAAAGAACATTGAAAAGCGTAGGTGCTTTGGAGAAACTGGTGCAAGGGGATTCTTCGGCTGTAGTGAATCTCTAGATCCACCAGACTCGGAACACCAACGAAGAGGCGTGGTGTTCAAGGTGGTCTCTTCTTCCTATTCACTATGTAGGTGCTCCGTATAGGTGCTCCGAGCATCTCTGGGAGGGATCTTCAGCAAGGATTCCAAGCCTTGCTCGCGTCGGTGCACTGCGTGTTTGGCGCGGTGCCATACGTGCCGTGGATGATGGAGGTTACGTGGACGACCACAGGGTGGAACCCAAGTGATCCGCCAAAGATCGTTTGACAGACTGCCGAGGCGGTGTGGCGCGCTAGGGTTTTGTTCCTAGGTATGGTTCGTTTTTGGATGTCCGACCCAGAGGCCCAGGGGCAGAGAGGGTATTGCTCTTGTTGCCTTTGACGAGTGGGCCTGGATAGTACAAGTATCCTATCGTCAAGCCAGGGCCGATTGTATTTGTACAAACGAGACCAACCAGGAATGTTGAGATTGGAGGACAGCTCGCTGCCACATAGACCTTTCGTCAAACAGGTTGGGTACATCAATCTTGTGCCTCTGGTGCAACAACCCAAACAACTTCATTGGGAAAAGAAAAGATGGGCCAGATGATTGCATTCCTAGCCAAATATGGGATAAGTACAGCCTCTGTTTCCAACACCTTCCCCGTAAAAACATACAATTTGTCCCAAAGCTCCGCGCGCACCTAGTTCTTACAATGACACTGCAAGAACACCTCCCTGCTGTTTTGAGGGTCATGTCCCACTATTGGAGGGTCCAGGTACCTCCAGGTACCCCTGCAGGGTACCTCCTCGTTCCTGTGGAGGATTCACTGGGCGACTTGGGCCAGATCGAGACACGCTCTTGAGCTTCGGCCAGATCCTTTGCCTTCGACCAATCCAATTGTGGAGGATCGGTCAAGCGCTGGCCTCGGTCGTAGGGCGCAGGGCGCGCGCGCACCAGTCGTGGGCGAGGGGAGAGGACTTGAGAATGACACCATTGGAGACTGCAAAAACCTCCAGAAAGTGACCTACTAGCAGGTGTGTCACCTACAATGCATCAAGATACAATGGGTTTGGATGTTGAAGGCAAAAGATCAGGTATGCTTCAGAAAAGAAGGGAAGTCTATCGTAGAAACCCCCCAAACGCGAAGACTCTTGAGACACACTCGTGTCAGAGCGGTATCTGGCTTCAATATGTTGGTTCAAAGTTGGCCAACAACAGCTGCCAGAGATGTTTGTGGCTACAAATCATGCATGTAGTTCATCCGGAGTTGTAGCCAGGCAAAAAAGAGGAATCCACCTCATTAGGTCTCATCACTGCTGCTTGGCGCTGCCAAGAGAGGTTGAACAGCCCGCCCTATATATAGCCCATCCCATATGTACCACTACAGAGTCCTATAAGGACGTTGAACCTCTGTTGGTGTTGATTGTTACTCTTTCACTCTCCGACTGACTCAAACCTTCACACGAAGCACGCGCCTCGATCGTAGACTTGGTAGATCGGCGACTCCTCCAGCTTCTCCAGGATGTGAAAACCTGGGAAGAAGTCCTCGGACAGGAACCTCAGCGCCCGGGTCGAAACGTTGTGGAACACTTGGCCAGTTTTTGTCACTTGGAAAGGTTTTTCCTTGAGTGGCAAAGGGGGGATCAACAGGTGTGTTTGTTTGCGGGACATATCACATTAAGAGCATCCTGATCCACCCTGTAGATGTAGGACCTGCGTTCCAGCTCCATTCCATTTTCCTCCAAAAGAGGCTCTGAGTCTTAGAGTCATTTCCATGTCAAACACACCAGAAAAGCAGCCTCCTCTCAAACTCATTGGCTTTGGGCAACTTGAGGCCATCTTCCTTGAATTGACAGTGGTTTCAGAGGTTCGATGGCACCAGCACCCCAAATGACTTCGACCAAATGGAGGTCCATAGAACCCCCCTGAACGACTAGGGACCCGAACGACGTGTCATCTACTCTCAATCCACTAGACAAAACATCAAGTCGTCCATCTAGGAGCATCAGTAGCAAAGACATGCAAAGACGCTATCTACGTAGCTTCTAGCTTCTTTTTGTTCCCATGTAGTAGCTTCTTGTTCCTAGTAGTAAGAATGCTACTAGTAGTATGGCCAGGAGCCCCTAGTGGGGTCCTTGCTCCTAGTAGTAAGGCCAGGAGCCCCTGTAGTAGCTTCTAGCTAGTAGTAGTCATGGCCTCCGGCCTAATGGTGGTGGCCTCCAACCTATATAGTAGCTTTTAGCTACATCTAGGAGCTTCCAAGAACCTAAGTGGAGTTCACCACTCTTCACACAAGAAACTACCAGGACACTCCAACGGGTCACCACCTGCGACCAAAAAAGGTCTCCATTTCAGCCTCCATTTCGAAGACCTGTAGAGTGGGGTGCTGGGAGGTGCTGGGATACAAGAACTCTCTTGGTTTCATGATGTTTCATGTCCCAAGATTGAACTGTGAAAAACCATTGACCATGTTGAAACAATGCAAAATATATAAAACAGAACTGAGAACAAAGGGTGATCTCGCTTGTCTTATATCGTGAACACAATTGTATTTTAGTTTATATAGTAGTAAGGCCAGGAGCCCCTAGAAGCGTCCTTGCTCCGTTCGTAGCAATGCCCTTTGCTCCATTCGTGGCGAACCTTGCTCCTGGCCAGGAGCCCCTAATTTCTTCCTTTTTCTTCAAGACACTTGGTCCCTCCAGCGCTTCCCGCTTCTGGCCCGGTCACTGTTCAGCTGGCCCGGCCCATGAGAGCACTGGCCACAGGAAAAGCGTTGCCGCCCACATCTCTCGGATGGTCATGTGTTGCGCGTGGTCAAGTGGATTGGTTGGAGCTCTCTGGAAAAAGAATAGATGGACCAGGAGTCACAAGACGGGGTGCTGAACTTGGAGGATAGGGCGGTCCCCATGATCCACGGCCCCTGGATGGGACGAACGAAACCACCACGTCTTGTGACTTCTGGGATGTGTATTTGCATAGGGAGGTCTTCCAACCACTTGGGGTTTTGGTATATCTCCCCATCTTCCAGATGGTCTTTGAGGCGGTCTCCCTATACTAATACACACTCATGAATCCATGTGGGCCATGGCACCGGATCCATTCCCATGAATCCCCATGTAGTTTGTTTTCATCGAGTATGGCATAGACCAGAAATATCCAAGTCCGACTCATGGTTGAGACAAGGAAATTCATCTTTTTCCGGATACGTTGATTCAGTGCTAGCTTGTGTTATACTAGCAGTCTGTGCCGCAAAAACCCGTGTGACCTCGATGATGGCTCTCTCATATCCGGCCGCCGGCAACGACATGAGAAGCGCCAACGACATGAGAAGCAGAGAACCGGAGGAAGCCATAAGGTATCATTGATCATGCATGTACTTGTTTGTATGTTTATTTTTCCATGTGCCCATGTGCCCATGTCAAATTGGACTGCAAAGGCAGATGCGGTCACCATGCAGGCAACGAATGCACGGCATGCGAATTTTGTGTTTTGGGATGTTTTGGGTATCTTAGGTGGCACAGGATCACTATGCTGCACACTTTAAGAACCAACAGCATCTCAGCATCTCTATATCCTGAAAACCTAGGTCTGGCCCGCATAGCACATTTCCTCGCTGTTTGAAACGTTTGGTGCAAGAGTACCTGACCAAAGCACTCCCATTTTTTTCGCGCAACCACCTTCTGCTGGTTTTCCTAGCCAAGGTCAACCAGATCAAAGCATCAAAAACTTGCTACAAGGAGTACACTCCATGAAATACACTCCCGAAAACTAACATAGACCCTGACAATGGCCCCCTGCAAGAGTGTTTTCCTCTATCAACCAGTGGTTTTCAGGGTCCATGTTAGTCTTCCAGGGTGTATATGGAAGTGGAGACAACACCACCTGTTGGGCTTTCGGATTTCATCTTCCTTTCGGGCACGGCCTGGCCCCACGGCCTATTTCAAAGAACGTCAAAACCCAAGGAGAGTGTACATGAAAAAGGAGAGCGACTCGGTGTCTCATTCCGAAGAACCTCTTTGACTTCGTGCATTCATGTGTTTCTGAACCAGGGGTCACAAAGGGTTGGTGTTTAGTCCCTAAGTGATTGGGTGATGGGCACCCCTAACCTCCATAAAGCACCCCTTTCAAACTCCTGGAATATATGTTAAATGTTATTAGTTTGTATGATAGTGTAATAGTGTATATATATGTATGGACTGGAAGTTTGACCAGTTCAATGGAATTGGTTCTTTGGCGAAGTCCTGGCTCCGTCCATTTTAGACTTTGGGTGGGCAGCATTCCAGCACCCCCCAGTTCATGACCCCCCCCCCCCTCCTGACTATCGATGTACCGGGTCCAAGAATCACCCGAACTGGGTGGTGATGGAACCCACCCCGGGCGAACCCCCACGGTACGGTCCTAACAGGTCGATGCAGTTCTCCAGGTCGGTTTCTGGAAAGAAGGCCCTATATATGAAGGCCAGGTCTAAGAAGGCCGTGGATCCATATGGATCAGCAAAGAGTCAAACACTGACTTACACCTCCCAAACACTCCATGTATGCCATATATTGCCTACATTGGGGTGGTTTTGGGGGTCAATGTAGGCATATATGGCATACATGGAGTGTCTGGGCCTTGTGACTTCAACTGTGTTTCTCTGTGAGTTTGCAGAAATCGGATCACCCAAGGATGAAGGCAAAGAATGGCAGACATAGGCAAGGGAGATTGCCAGGTGCTGAGACTCGTTGTCCCACACATGAACACCCATCGAGGACGTTTTGGACCCTGGTGACTCTTCTCGTCAACTCGTGATAAGATACTTCATCCTTTTTAATACATATGGCATATGGATCAAGTATGTCTCTCAAACAACATCTTCTTCTTTTCATGTCTGGTCCATCCTCTCACCCCCTCCGATCCCACCTAAGCTGGTACACCTAAGCTTCCCGGCTCGCATCTGCAAGAAGCGCTGGTCTTGTTGACCAAAGAACAACGACCTCCGTCACGCACCGGTCCGGCCCGCCGCGAACGCGACAAGGCACTCTTGGGAACGGACGGAGCTCCCGGGATCCCTAAACCGGACCTCAGAAACCCTAGGGCTCCAGTCGTACCGAACCTGAGAAGGTGGGACTGGGGTGGGTGCCAGGAGGGTCCAGATACCTTTCTTTAGAGGGTCCGACTGGAGCCCTAGCGAAAGTGATTGGAGCCACAGACAGCCTGTCAGAACCTGTGTCTCCAACCTTCTGAGGTCCGAACCTCATGTGTGGGATCCATAGGGGTCCCTCAGTTTCACCGATGGAGTGATTCGTGAGGTCATAGTTCATGAGTGGGTGTCCCCAGAGCCCCAGTGGAAAGGTTATCCGCTTATTCACTGGTACCGGGTAGGGGAAATACCGTGGATGTTCGCATCAAAACAGGTGGTGCAGGAGTTCTTCCATAGAAAAAGGTAGTATCCCACACGGGGCAAACGTGCATTGAGATGTTCAACGCATTGGCCTCCATTGTCAAAATGATAAAGATCAGTTGCGCACATACGACAAACGAGGCGTGCACAAAGCCAGTAGAGGCACGCGCTTTTTTCTCAGGCAAAACTTCCCCACTCAAGTCAAAGGGTTACAAAACTTCCTGGGTTTTTGGTTTAAACACGGTTCAACCACGGTCCTCCAAGAGACGTCCCATTTGGGACAACCATTCACTGAGGATGTACATAAAGAACTTTCATGACCCCAACATGAAACCAACACTCAGCATCGAACACATCAAACCGACGCACCGTGCGTGGCCGCACCTGCAGGTCACCTTCGGTGGCAGCCGCGGCAGGCCACTCTTCATCGAGGATCTGGCGCGGATCGCATGCGCGGATCCGAGAAAGAATGGGGAGGTAGACTGTGGTACCTGGACCCCCCAGAGTACCTTAATGGGACATGACTCACATGATCTTATTTAAACAAAATACAAATAACACATGTATTTCTAAGCCTTTTCTGAGGTACGTCCTGAGACTCCAATTCATACCAGGACCCAGAAGGGTGTCCATGGGCATTCCATTTGAGAACCGGTGGCCTTGTGGCCAATGGCCTGGCTCTCAAAACCCTGGTGGTTCGCAAATAGGCTGAATCGATTTCAGGGGAACGTCGTTGCGATATTTTCGGTACCCACAGAAAACACGTGCTTTGCGGCTTCGCTCAGCACATCGCCTGCCAAAGCCCAGCAGCAGCTGCTCATGCAACTTGGCCACCTGGTTGGAAGTCAGGTGGGAGGCGGCCACTGAGCTGGAAGCCACTAGCAGCATGATATGTGGGTGATTGTGGGTGTATATTTCAGGAAAGTAGACTAGTCGATTTCCCGAACCTTCCAAGGGGTCGAACTGGGAGGTCTCCCTATGCACATGCACACTCAATGTGAACACTGAATAGGAGATGGTCGAAAGCAACGCAGTCTGAAACTTCAGAACATGGTTCACATTTGCCAGGATGAGCTGGGAAATCAGCGGACGAGTATGATGAGTATGAATTTCTGCACCCTTGACTCTGTTTCCTAAAGATTGGAACCGAGACCTGCGGATGATGTTGAATGCATCATTCTGCACCTGCCTCCACAGCAGCCCGCCTTCGCCCGAAACCATCCCCTCCCCTAAACTCTTTTCACCAGACCTGCAGCGCCCAAAACCGCCACCTTCGGCCGACACGTCCAAACCTCCAGTCCATCCGTTCGCCCGGTCCTGCCGGAAGCGCCGGCGGATGGGCCAGTGGGCATCGCCTCGCCGGATGGTCAGGGAATAGATCACCTCGGGCCGTGCCGTGACACCCCGGAGGTGGGTGGATCGTGGCCGGGTGGATCGAGTGGAGATTGAAGGAACTACCGAAGGAGAGTCACGTGAGACTCGGCTGCGTGGATAGGCCTGCAGAACTTGTTGGGGGGTGCCAAGGGGAGGAATGCAAAGCACAGAAGGGTAGAAAAACACACCTGCTATAAGGTTATGGAACTTTTGAGAGGATGGGTTTAGGGTTGAGGGTGAAATACTCCCAATATGATCCTTTCTACATAGTCAGTTTACCAAAGTAAATTATAAACAGGAGTCCTGAGAGGTTGACAATTCCACAAGGACACTCCTATCAGCCGACTTGCAGCCAGGCCTTGCAAGAGTGCAACATGCCTCACAATTCTACCCATACCCAAATATGATTTCGTCTGGTAACCCTTGAGCATCCTACAACCGTAATTGTTTCTTCTTCTTCTTCTTCCTCTTCTTCACGAGCAACTTGGTCTTCATGCGTGTGGGCCCACGTCCACCTCGAACCTTCTTACATGCCCCCAAAAAAGAGGTAACTCTTCCCACCACGCTGCACCGTTTCGCCTCGGCGAGTTCCGACGCCGTCGTTCGTTCGCCGTCGGTGTCCCGGTGAACGGATACACTCCGCGGCGCATGTCTGCCACGTCGGGCAGGCTCGAAGCCATCCACCTGGAGACGAGATGGTGTTTCTGCACCGTCACCCGACCAACTCACGTGGTGGCCACCAAGCCAAACAAAAACGCGCACCAGAAGTCACCAGACGGGCCAAAGGGGTGGTTTCGTTCGTCCCATCCAGTCAGGATCATGGGGACCTTCAGCACCCCGTCGAACGTGACTCCTGGAATACAGTTTGTTGTTGAAATACACTTAAATAGTCAGTTGAGAATACCGCATTAATACCTGTAAATGCAGTTTTTGTTCCACCAAGCTGTATGTCTCAACTTGTTGACGGAACAAAAAAACAGCGAATCCCGAGGTTCCACCGGCCTGTTTGGTCGACAGCAAAATCCTGAGGTTCCTGCGAAAACAGGAGCATTCAACTGATTTCAAATGTATTCGTATGGGGCTTCATCAACTGGACCCAACAAAGTAACAAAGGCTTTGATTTGCTGAGAAGGGGTCTGAGAAGGGTCTGGGACTTTGGAATTTGGGACAGGTGTTTTTCCACCGACCCCCCTTCTTCTAAACAAAAGGACTCATGCTTTATAAGGAATGTATCATGACCATCACCATCACTCGGTGGCTTCCAACCGATCGGACTCGACCCAATCCGCGGCTCGCCTGAACACTGTACTCAGGAACTTCTTCCTGCGCTTGGAAAGAAAAAACCGAAGGACACGCGTGGGAGACGATCCGGACTTCCTGGCCTTCCTGATTTGTTGGGAGGGTGGGGGTGAGGTGAGACTGGCACCGGACAGCCAGAAAGCATCCGCTGGCCTTCCTCCCTTCCTCCTGGGGTCTGAAGCGACCGAGCCGTTCCAAATACAAAGGTGTCCGATGTTGAGAGAGGGGCTCGACCAACGGGTGGGCTCTCCGCCGCCCTGTACACGTGTACACTGTGGGTTTTTTCAGGAGGGCGACCTTTAGGCAATGACCCCAAATAGACCCAAAAAGTACCACCTCCCTTGGTGCAAAAGGTCGAAACATTCGTTTGACTCCTCTTTGGTCCCTCCACGTAGCTATAGGCAAAACGGCCAATTCCGCGCCAACGGCCACCGTTTGGGGTGTTCGGAAATGGCCGTGTTCGGACTCCCCATCCGCCGATCTGCCCGCATGAGGCTGGCAGAAGGGCATTCCCCAAGTTCTGCGGACAACAAAGGATGTCAGCTGGCGAAGAGCAATGAAAGCGGTTGTGCCTGATGCAAGGAGGAAGGCAAAAGGTTTGGTGACTGATCTAGCCAACGCCGCCCTTGGGCCCCCCCAAATGGGACCCAAAACATATCATTGGATCTGGATATTCAAGTGTACAGAACCTCTTCCCTACTCAGGGCCTAAGAAAGTATGGTGGGTAGGGATGAACGGATTGTTATAACGAAAACTAGCAGCTTGCTGCAAAGAACTTTAGCCACTTGGAGTTTGGCATTCCATCCACATAAGGCTCAAAGGGAAGGGTTTCTTCCAAAGACACAAGAAAGGCACACAGACCAACATCAAAAACCACCATTCCCTGATTCCGAGTTCTTCCAGCCTCTCTGAGTACTAGGACCCAAACCGGTTTCAGCGCGGTGCCCAGGTTTCGGCGCGCTGGTCGGAGCGTCCTCTTCTGGCACCACACCAGCAACCTGGCATACCAAGGTATACCAAGGTATGCCAAGGACGCAAGAAGAGGTCCCAGATGCAAAAAGTTGAGATCAGTCACCAGCAACCAGTCAAGGTCTAGGTCTCCCTGTGTAACAAAGGGAGGGACGACTCGTGTGGTCCAAAAAGGGCCGCTGCCAAGACCTTCGCAAACACGAACGAATGAGGGGGATGGCTTTGCGATTGATCGTTTAATGGGGAAATACTATTACTGCTGTCCTGCAAGCATAACAAATCGATTGACCAACTTCTCCAAGATACCAAATGTGCCTGGCTTTGAGGCAGGCTTTCTTGGCACCGTGAGATTCTCTCCATCAAACTTGGCACCAGGTCTTCGTGTTCTCCCATGAGTCTGAGTCTAACTCTGATCTTCACTAATATTCCTTTTTGCGGCTGGAACTTTCAACACTTTGGCGAGAACCCCCCGTTTTTGTGTGCCTGTTTGGTCCATCTCTGCTGGTTGGCTGATGTCCAGTATTGGCAACCCACCGACTCCGGAAAGCAGCCGCTTCTTTCGGGAAAGACGTCCACCTGCCACACCCAGGTCGCATACGCCGCAGTGGTTTTCGCCTGTCGTGGGCTGCCTGTTGATTGCAGCAGTCAAAACTCATCGACATCAACTTCCTCCCGTGACAGAGAGGAGCTCCGTTTCAGGCATTTCGTGTGGATTCCTCTCCTCAGCTTTCCTCTGCATTCATGGACATTTCATACCCAGGTACGCAGGATCATCCGCTGAGCAGGGTGAAAACCAGGCAACAAAAGTGCCCTTTGGGAACAGCTCTGTACTGGCAAAAGTGAAACTGTCGCTGACGACCCGACATTTGGCGAGCTATTCATTATTCAATTGGCTGGCATGTATACAGCTGTCACAAGTGTATTATTGCATGATCATGTATGCTACCCTTGCACCTATGCTCCCTACACTACATATTGTCACAACGAGGCTTAGAACAACACCATGTGTAAGCACACGCTATTTACAACTCCTCCACTCATCGGTGAAGGCTTCCATCTATGCTTGTTGGAACCTTCGTGGAAGGGCGTGGTACATGGCGGTCCACCATGCCTTGGATCAGCGGATTCTTCGGAAGGATGGGCTGATCAACATGAACCTGCCAAGCTCGAGCTGAAGGCTCTTGCTTTTACTGTAGTTCAACAGCTACCACAATTCAAAAATAAATAATATACCGCCATAGTTATACCATAGTTGATTGTCTTTTGATCTGATTATTGATCTCCAGGACCCCAACACCTCACTCAATCTATGAACACTCCAAACCCTTGACGCAACAACAGAGCCTCAAACTCTGCTGCTGAGTGACCCAAATCCAAGCGCACGGAGTATGTCCATCATTTGTGGTACTTTTAGGGTTGGGATCGGGGATCTTGCGATCATGGAACTTAGATACAATACATTACAATACCAAATACATCAACAACTGATGAGCACAAATTGCAACAAGTATATAGCACCGATTGACAACATCTTACACCACGGAAACACCGAACCAATAGGAACATGCTTCATGAATCTTCACCAGATGTCATTGAAAGAGCACAAGTCCATTGAAACAAAGTATCACCATTCCAGCAATCCCAATTGACCAGTATCGCCATGTCATTCGAACACACACACACACAGTCACACAGAGGTCGAAACTAAACCCGCACGAAGGGTCCGCCTGAGAGGATGATGTGCAACAAACAGCTAGCTCAAAGGGCCACAACTTCCATACACCTCCCCATCTTCAGGGCTCAATTGCTTGTCTCGTCAGGTTGCTAATGCGGAGTCATGTCAGGTAGTGATCTGTGAGGATTATCTAGAGTATAACTTTGGCATTCGGTACCTGCCTCAACATCCGGCTTGGGAGACTCTTTGACATAACTGTGGTTCAAAAGGGAGGGTTTTGTGGTCCACTGAATTTCTGTTGATGATTGGGGGTGTTGCGTGTTTGGACCTGTTATATGCAACGTTGTTTTAGGTTGGGTGGGGGGTAAGAACGTTCAGTTGGATCATCAGCATCAACATGTTTGATCATCTTCAATTTCGTTTCATGGCCGTTTGATGTACTGCATCGTCATTTTCGTTTAGTGCATTTCATCTTCATCGTTTGCGAAAAATGCATCTCGCTCTTGATTCTATTTCGTTTCATGACCTTCTTCTTCGTTGTTTTTGCACTGCATCTTCACCCGCGTTTCATGAGCATCTTCATCTTCGCTTCATGAGCTTCATCTTCATCTTTGTTTCTTGTCTAAAACGTCTGCTGGAAAAGAATCGTTCTGCGATCGCTGTAGGACAAGTGTTGATTCCTGCAGTCCTTTAAAACTGGTATGCCGTTCTGGCGAAAACACCAAACACACAAAACACGTGGACCCTCACAAAAGATTCGATCCCTCAAGAGCCATCCACAAATCATTACGTAATTACGCATTTGTTCCGCATGCACTGCGCATGATTCCTGAATCAAGGCCCAAAAACACCGGGGCCCAGCGTTCACTGCTTTCACCGGGAACGAAGTCCGAGATCGTTCCACACCAAGCTGCACCAAGGGTCCAACTTCTCTAAAGCTCGCTCTTGGCCTTCTTTTGATAGGCACTCACGGCCTGAGGGCGACAAGAAGGACCAGCGATGTTCATCTAGTCATTCTTGCACTGAATGTGTTCTCTGTGACTTGGATTGCCCTTGTCTTGGGATATCACAGACATTGATATCACATGTCGGAAGCAAAAAACACATACAAAAGGACCTGCAATGGGCAAGGTTCTTGCACAAACAATTTGGCCACTGTCAAACTGAAAGGGTTCCACCAGTTCAAACATGAGATAGACTTCATGAGGAACTGTCCATATATTTTTAGTAATTAAGTTGACACCCAATATCACCCAATGCATCGCCCCACCGACTTGCGCAAGAAAATCCTTCATGTGCCCCCCTGTCTGCTCGCAGCTGGTATATAGTTATAGTGGGGACCCAACTGGAGACCGCCATTTGGACCATCATCAACTCTGCCAGCTCGGCGGAAGCCAACAACTGCCCCGCCCCAGACTCTTCAAGGATGTTCCACAAATGTTTGAATCATAAAGGGCTCTCCTGATTTCCAGTTTACTTCTGTCTCCAAGTCAAGGACGCCCTGAATCCAGTATCGATGAGAGGAGCGAGATCAGCTCCGAGAGACCCAGGTAGGTTGATTAGTGATCCGTTGACACCACCATGTCCAACGGCCATCCTTTCGTTTACAGGATGGATAAGACCACTGGGATGCTTTCCAGGTACTGCAACATGCAGAACGTCTATTCTGTTAGAGGAACGTCTTCCAAGGCAGTTCCATCGCTTGGCGGCCTTTTCCAACATCGATCAATTGATGGCTCAACAATGCCAGAACGTCCTCACAACTGACTCATCAACGGGCTTGTCACCCACCGAAGTACCGAATCAAACACCACAATCCTTGCTCCAAACCAAACACCTCTCCCCGTCATCCCTTCCATCTCACCGAAAACATCCACAAAAATCACACCACCTCCCCATCCACCCGATCGACGCGCCGTTTCGGCGTGTCCTCCCAGTCCACGTCGACGTGTCGTTCGACACGCGTCGTTCGCGTCGCTTCGCTTCTCGTCGGGTGCCTTGAGCAGTCCCAGACCGGAGCTCTTGATCTCCTCCACGTCCTTGTCCTTCTTGTCACTGCTCTCCTCGAAGCGCATCCGCAAACAAAGGGCGGCTCGCTCTCCGTGCGTCCGGTGGCAAGGTGTAGAGAAGGAGCGCCATTGGTCCCAAGTTCGGGTGGATCATTGGACCTTGCAGTGTGGGGGGGTTCTGTGAAACATCTATCAACATCTCAAAACCAACATCAATGTTGTATACTGGATACTGGGTGAAAGAAGAATCTGCAAAGGCCAAAGGCTTGTAGATGTTCTGCTGGCCAGCCAGTGGGGAAAAACATGGAAAAAATGTCAGCATAAATCGATCAGTGGGTATCAACCCCAACAGCCTGTCTTTCAAGGCCTCGCCGCGGAAGTCCTTGAGGGACGAATTCACTCATTGCTCGAGGTCTATCACGGGGTTTTCAATCCCCGCAATCACCATCTGCAACCGAAAGCAACTCAAAGGGGAAGATCATGCAGGAACCATACAGCCCTTTCGAACACCCATATGTGGAGATACTTATAACCATACAAGCCCTCGTGTGAATGCTTAACACTTGATACTCAGAAGGTTTCGTGATGTTTTAAGCCAAATTTTAGCCACTTTGAGGCATGCTGTCGTTTCTTTCGACCTCAAGCCTTAAGGCTTCACTTGGCCAAAGCAAACCAGGCCCCTCGCTGCAAAACTCATGGCTCCCGGTGTCAGTGGCGTCGACACTGCGTCGCCCAGAGTCGACACCCCGTCGCCTGGTACTGCTTTTGCAGACCCTCCACAAACGTCTTGAAGTCGGATTCGAGCCTCAAAAAAGGCGACTTCAAGACATCGCATGAAACCTGTAAACCCCTTCCATTCCAACATCTAGGGAAGGGGCCTGTACGGGGAAAAACTTGCCATCTTTGTTTCGCAGTTCAATTGCAAGGGTTCCGCGAACAGGAACCCAGCTGGTAGAAGAATGAAGAACCTCTCAATTCAAAGCTGATGTCAACACCTTTTTTGCGTCCACTTCTCAAGTAAGCTAGCCCTACAGTTTGCCAAACTCCCACGTAACACTTCACAAGCTGGACGTTATGCAAAGACTTTCGGGGTTGTATACATGCCTACATTGACCCCTGACACTACCCCAATGTAGCTAAATAGGTCCTACATTGATGGTCCGGGTATGGACTTGACCTTGGAAAGTGGTGCCCCAGGAACTCATCGGGTTTGCGCGGCCGGGAAGCTTTTCGATCTCTGCTTCTTTCTCCTTGATCATGCTCTCACGCTTCCTCATCTAAGAAGGGAGGAAGTGAGTCAAACCAATGAGGAACAGAAGTGGTTATGAAGTAAGACCACCCATGG